GGACCGAACAACCAGCTGACAGCTGCAGCGCAAGCAATAGAAGCCCGCAAATATTGCGAAAACAAGTCAAAACAGGGTTGCGCCTTAGATACTTGGTTCAAATTGTCGTCAGCAACTTAAAAAAAATTCTAATAAAAATAGTAATAGTAATAATAATAACCAGTGAGCAGCGGCAGCCAAGCGTGCCAGCGTTCACTCGACCGGAAGTCACATCTATGTTTTGCCTGTCATATGGAGCAGGTGGTAGAGTCGTGCTTGTTTGAGATATTTGTTTTCATTTGGGTCACAAGTCACCAGCTGCTAATATCATCTTGATTGTAGTTTAACACTAAAGTTTTACCTTTTTGGCACGACTGACTGCGTATGTGCTCAATTCCCCCCAAAAGTCCAATATAGCGTGAGTGACATGGAATTGTTTGTTTTACTTTATATTATAAGCTGTTTGGTGAAAGACATTCACATTTTCTTAGAGACAAAGTGTTCCCTATATTAATAAAAAACCATTTTTTATTACTCACGTTCACTGAAGTGGGAGCTCGAATCAATTTTCCAGACTATTTGTCCTTTGTGAGATCCATTGATGCCTCGGTTCTTGTAGTCCAGAAAGTTCTCCGATAACGTCTCATCTGGAAAGAGAGATGAATGAGAGCTCAAACCGTACTGCACATCCAAGCTTCTGAATTTCTTTCTGTAATGTATTGGCAACAAAATAAAATGATAGCTGAAACTACTGGTATTCACTGGACAAGTGGAAACTCTTCTAAGGTTTTACATATCAGGACAGGATTATTTGGCCCTTAGCACATCTGAAAATTAAACAAGCGCTTTATGTATGAATGTATCAGTGTGTTGTATCGTTGTGGAGAAATGTTGGCCCACTATTGATTTTAAACAATGCTTAGGTAGTTTTAGGTTTTTGATCGTTCGCTTACGTACGGCTCTCTCGTGGTCTTGCTGCGTCAACACCACCATGTCCACCACGAACTCTTCTGTGTACCAGAAGGTTTCCAGAAGTGTTACTTTATTTAAGTTACAGCCTACTAAAGGTGGTTATACAAGATACTGAATCATAGGGTGTAAATAATTTTTCACTCACTGCTGCTTCTGCATTTGGCTTAGTGTTTATTAAATAAATAATTTATGATATAATAATATAACAATTATTTCTTCTAACATAACAGCTCATGTGCTGTTGCTCATCTCAGATTGTATTTACCTCATTTTAAGACCTGCTAAGGCCTGATATGTAAAACTTTAGAATTAACTGGGTGTACTTTGTTTTTAATGTGACTGTATGTTTGCAGATATTGCCTGTCAAGAACAGACGACCTGATGCATGACGTGTCTGCTTGAATGAAAATCTATATCACAGACTTCAGAGCTATCAGCTTTTTCAGAGAAGAGCACTGAAGTTACATTGTTGCTTTGTGTCTTAACCCTTTAAGACCTACCATAGAACCAAGGCCGCCAGAGCTTATATTATATTTTTACATGCTGTGGAGCCATTTTTGGGAGCATTTCAAGTTGCTATACATCAATACAACCATT